TTCCAGCCCCCAGAAGAACTGAAATAATATTTTAAGCAACAATAGAATCCTTCACCAAGATGTGTAATTTAACATTTTCATATGTTTGCTGTAATTATATATGCATACAGTTTTTAATTTTGGAAGAATTTTGAGGATGTTTCAGACATCTTGACACATCCCTGGACTTTGGTCTGTACCTCCTGAGGATAAGTGTTCCCTTAGATCGCACAATGCCATTTTTATACCTAAGAAAATTAAGAGTAATTCCAATGTTCTCAGTGTTCCTCACATTATTCTATTGTATAAGATGACGGTCCAACCAACTGAGCCCCACTGGCCAGGGCCCAGCTTCATTTCTGAGCTCGTGTTGTGGTCTTTGAAAACTACCAGATGTGTCAGCTGGTTGCCTTTAAGGTTCTGCCCATGGCTCCCAAACATTCTCTTCCCATATTCTGAAGATAACTTGAACCCCGTGACGGGTCCACGAAGCTCCTGACACGGGGAAGTTTCGCACTGAGATATGTGCATGTCTTGTTTGGTACAGAAAGTCGAACGGGGCCACTGATTTTCAGAGAGCTGGGGCTCATAAAGGGTTAAGGAGTTGCTGGAGTGGGCGAGATGGTCTTGGAGGTTTCCTTTGAGTCTCCAGGTTTCTGCCTCTTTGAATGAAGACGCTCCAGCAGTAGAAGCCAGCGCACAGCTCCCCCTTCCAGGGTCGAGGGCGGCCCAGCGAGCTGGGGGGCGGCAGGAGCTCCTGGGGGAAAAGGAAACCCGCTCGGTGTGTGTTGGCAAGTTCTGTTTGGGGTGCTCTCAGAGGGAAACGTCTCTGACCAACTTCTGCATTCGCGGAGAGAACTGGGGCTCTATTTCTCACAGAAGCAGCAGCAGTGGCTGGGACACAAATTGCGGTTCCTGTGGAAAGACAGCGCAGGGCTCCAGCGACGTGCATGTGTCAGCGTCAGGTCCCTCAGCTCCACTCCCAGATTGCGGACAGCAGGTCTGCCCTGCTTATTGTTGCCTCTGCTCTCAGCATAATAGAAACTTACTAGATATCTTTGGAGTGAAAACATTAAATACGCAGACAGGTGGCTTTCTGGAAAGACTTTCCCTTGGCCAGGACAGACAGAGCTTTGTGACCTCACTTCTTGGAGAACTCACAAGCACCCCTGAGCTCCACACATGCTCTTATGGAGGCAAAGCGGCTCTTGTTTCTCTGCAGCATCCCCCACGCCAGGCGCTTGGGAGCCTGTTACTCCCTTGTCCGTTTCCCCCCTTCTGCTGAGCCCCCCTCAGCGCACGAGGAGTCAGTGGACAATGTACACCTGCCACGGCCTGGAAACTGCCCCCCCCTGGGTGAAGACCAGCTGCTGCTGTGCTGCATGCCTTGGATGCTGGTCACCTGGAGGGAGGGGACTCAGGACACTTTTGGACCAGATCAGTGCTTCCCCTCCAAAGAAGAATCTTATCCTATAAAAATCTTTAAACAAGTGTATGTGTGCACGGATTATCATTGCAATGATGTTTGCAAGAGACTTTTTCCATCAATAGGGGACTAGTTGATGATTGTGGCCCATGAGAACACGGGTGCAGGTAAAGAGAACTGGGTGGTTTCATCATTGAGATGTTTTGCCAATTTAACAAATATTTATTAGTGTTTACTATGTGCCAGGTAATCTGATGCTGAGACCAGCGAGAGAGAGACCAAATAGACACATTTCTGATGCCTTAGAACTTGTAGTCTGACAGGCAGGAGTATTCGTCCCATCCATTCATTCTGTGAACATTTATTGGCATCCATTTTGTCAGGCACTGTGTTAGTCCCTAGGAGTAGAACAGTGAGGAAGCAGAGAAAATCTTCACTCTGCCAAAGCTTATGTTCCTTGTCAGAGGAGGATGCTATATTGCTCAGTTAAAAAAAATGTTCTAGCCCTGGCCGGTTTGGCTCTGTGGTTAGCATGTTGCCTGCTGGACTGAAGGCCCCCAGGTTGGATTCTAGCCAAAGGCATGTACCTCAGTTGCAGGCTTGATCCCTGGCCCGGGTCGGGGCCTGTGCAGGGGGTAACCAGTTGGTGTGTCTCTCTCACAATGATATTCCCTTTTCTCTCTCTCTCTCTTTCTCTATCCACCCTTCCCCATCAATCTCTGAAAAACAATGGAAAAAATACCTTTGGGTGAAGATTAAAAAAAGAAAAAAGTTCTAGAATAGTATATATAATCGATACAATTTTTTCCCCTGCCTTAAACTATCTGGAAGACCCTCCTTTTCTTGGTGGGGCTCGGGCGTGTGCTCCTGGTCCTTGTAATATATGGAGGCCGAGGGAATGGGTTCTGCGCCCTCGGTGTCACATCTTTGGTGTCCATGGTTTCCTGTCTGCTGGGTCTATCCTCAAGCACAGGATAGGCTATAAAAAAAAATCTGGAAGGCTATACCCAAATCAATATGTTTACCCCACAGGAGTATTTGGTCAAGATATAGACTTTCACTTGTTTCTTTTACATGCTTTGGTAAGTGTTTGATGATCTCCACTGTCTTTTGTAATGAGAAGATAAGATTTAAGCATTACAGCGTTTTCCTGTCTGCCCTCCCCTTCACAGAAAGCAATGAAGACTGGGACAGGTTACCTTAAGGTCAAGGCCGGCAGTAGAGTGTGGCCGCAAGCTAAGATGGAACCCTGGTTTTCAGAGTAGGGTCTACTTTACATCGATTATTTGGAATGGGACAGATGGCAGAAAGGGGAATGAAAAGCTCCTACAAATGCCCTGGAGATGACAAGTGGTAATTTAATAACAGTGTAATAATAATGAATATGTGGTCTGTTCATAGAGGCACCTTAGGATCTTTCCCCCCCAGAGCTCTGCCTAAGAGACTCAGGCTGTGAAAAGAGGTGCCCCTTTATCTTTTCAGACGGGAAAAGTAAGGTCTTACTATGTTTTATCTGTCTATTGCTTTTTCTAGTTTTGAAATTCCGGAAGCACAAATTCCCAGTGGTTCCTTGTTTCTACTTCCCTTTATGGTGCTTTGCAGGTGTGGAGATATTTTTACAAACTGAAGCCAGGGCCCTCCACCCGCAAAAGGATTCCCACTCGCTTTATTGCGGGTGGTCTGGAACCGAACCCACAATATCTCTAAGGTGTGCCTGCAACTGATTTTGTGGTATCCCTTGAGCTTATTCCCCTTTAAATTTAAATTTTATTTTCAATTTATATTTTTTCCTGGAAAGTTTTATCAAAGCTAGAATTTATTGGGTGCATACCCTGTGCCTGCTGTCAGGTTCTTTCACATATACCTTTTCTAGCTATTTTACAGGCTGAAAAAAAAAACAATCTAACAAAAACCTACTTCATTTTCATTTAAATTTCAATTTAAAAAATTAAATGAAACCACATAAATTTGTCTCTAGGTTTCTATTGAGAAAGTGTGGATCTTTCTGGAGATAAGTGGAGATGCCCTAGATTTTTAAGATTTTTTTCATCAACCTTTTCTGGGACTCATGGGAAGTGGGGGAAGGGTTAGGGCAGCTGGACCATTAGGGTGAATGATTCTCAAGCTTAAGGAGGGCTCAGGTTTTGGCCGATTTTCACTGGGAACCTGTGCAGAGAGCAGTGGGAGCCAGAAATGTCAGTTCCAGGCTTCTGGATCCTCAGCATCTTTTCTCAGTTACAAAGATGCAATTACAAAGGACGTTCCAAGTTACTCATTTACTCATAGTAGTGATTTTCTTTTCTAAATTCTTGCTCAAATTTCTTCTGCTTGTGATGTGACCCTTTTCCAAGAGGAAGCAGTAAGATTTTTTTATAAGCTATTTTTTAAGCTATTCATGTGTGGTGGTAGGATTTGTTTAAATATGCATATTATTTTAAGATCGTTGTTTTATGGATGGGTCACCTTTAGAAAATTTTATAATATTTTGTATAATAGTAAATAACAAATCTTGCAAAAGCCCAATGCTATTGACCCAGCCGTCTTTCCTAAAACTGATGCGGAGGAAATGTCTTACCATCATGTGATCATGCAACTTTCACTGGTTACAAGTGAAAGTGTTCATCCAAAAGCAACTATGCGATGTTGTCAGTGTTTCTAGGGAGACAACATTCATTGTTTTGGTTTCAGGGAGGACAATTTCTTTGAAAAACACCCTGCTGTGCACAGGTACTGCCCTGCAGCTGTGTGAGCTTGAGCTCAGCTCACATCTAGTTTTCTGACATCTTTGTCATACACAGTTCAAAACCACCTGAAAGATGTATATCGATTATATTGGGGCACATTGTAGCTCTACAATTTTTATTAAAGGTGGCAGCTTGTTTTCCTAAACTTTCGAGGCTAAAGGCTATAGGGTTTGCCATTTTTTTCTTTTTATGCGTAGGATGTTCCATTGCTTAGCATGGGGTGCTCGATGACTGGTGAAATAATGTTTGTTGAGGGACAAGAACANGGGGGTGCTCGATGACTGTTTGGTGAAATAATGTTTGTTGAGGGACAAGAACAGTTGCGTAGGAGTAGGCACCCTAGGCTTTCTCTTCTGTGTCTGCCCCACAGGGTGTCTTCTATGGGTCCCACCCTCTAGTCCTCTCTTTGGCCCTCAGTTTATTCACTATAAGTTGAGGAGTGGGCCCCAGGTAGTTTAAGATCCCTTCATGCATAAGCAGTCTCAAGATTTTCATGGTCTTTCGGGTCCAGTCTGACCTAAAATCAAGCTCTGTGCTGAATCTTTTAAAAAAAGCCTAGCAGAGAACAAATACTGCTCCAGTCCACTAGGATCTCCTTATAATCTATTTAAATTAGTAAGAGGATAAATTCAGCAAGAAGATTGTGGCAGACGGGAGAAGTTAGACTTTCAAAGATACCTCCCAATGTCCTCATGTCAAGGTGTGGCACAGAGATAAAGAATGGAATGCTGGAAGACAGTTGTCTTCACCCATTAAAACCTTTGGGAGAAAGATCAGTGACAGCCACCAGAGGAGCTGGAAACCTAACTCGCCAGTAAGTACAATCCTCTTTAAATTTATGCTTAAGAGAAAATCAGAACTCTGTTGCTTCAACTTTCTGAGTATTATATGGCCTATAAGGACAATGATGATTGAGCCAATAGAAATTAGGACAACAATGACTGAGCCAATAGAAATTAGGGAAAATTCCAAGGGCGGGGCGGAGTCAAGGTGACCGAGTTGGTAAATCCTGAACTCGCTTTCTCCCAAGAGAACATCGGAATTAAAACTGGATCCTAGAGCAGCCATCAGAGAGAACCACCTGAAGACTAGCTGAGCAGAATTTCTCTAACTAAGGGTGTAAACAAGGAGCCTCGCCAGACAGGTAAGAAGGGTGGATGTGTGGTCTGGGCAGGTACCATACCCTCACCCCGGTGTAATTACTGAATGGGAGGGATAGCTGGGCTTCAGAGCCCCCCTGATAACCTAGAGGTCTGAGCCCCACACCGGGCTCCACAGCATGGGAAGACGAGGCCCTATAGCATCCAGTTCTGAGCACCCGCGGGGATTACGCCTGAGGTTAAGGAAGGGCTGTGGGAGTCCAAGGCTCTGTACTTACCGGGTTGGGCACAAACTCACTCGCTCTAAGCTCCAGCACAGAGGCAGCAGTTCCAGAAGTGCTGGAATAAGGGAAGGAACTAAATTGACTAACTTTAGGGCAAAGGCTGGAGGGATGGGGATTGGCCGGAACTCTCTCAGGGGACAGCAGCTCTGATGGGTGCTGCTGCTCCTTTGTTGAGCTCTCCTCCCATCCTGCTGGCCTGAGCAGGCAGGCACACAATCTCTCCCTCCCCATGAACCTGGCTAACACTGTCTGCCGTGCTCTGGCTTCTCCTTGAGACTCCACCCAACCCCTCACCTTGCTGGGGCCTCTTTTAGCAGCTCCAGGCCCNACTAACACTGTCTGCCCCGCTCTGGCTTCTCCTTGAGACTCCACCCAACCCCTCACCTTGCTGGGGCCNGTGCTCTGGCTTCTCCTTGAGACTCCACCCAACCCCTCACCTTGCTGGGGCCTCTTTTAGCAGCTCCAGGCCCTTCACTGTAGCCTTAGGGCCCATATAGTTTCTCCCAAATGCCCTCAAGCTCTACAGGAGTAATGGGCTGCTTCTGGCACTCCTGTAATCTGTCCTAATGGCCCTCCAGCTCCTCAGGATCAGTGGACATGCCTTCCTGGCCTCTCCCAAATGCCCTCAAGCTCCAGGGAAGCAATGGCCGCACAAGCAGTGGCTAGCCCCAGCTCCCATTGTAGCTCCTGCTAAAATGTCCCAAGCCCAGCACAGTGGCAGCCAGCCTCAGCTCACACTGCAGCCTTTTCTAAGCAACCTCAGCCTGGCACAAGCAGTGACTGGCCTGGACTTACAAGCCAGCTCCAATCAAGTAGTCCCAAGCCTGGCACAAGTAGCAGATGGCGGCAGCCACCACCAGAGTCCCGCCTAAGCAGCTCTAAAACTGACACACCCAACGGGCATCTAAAATGATGAATGCTTCATAGGAAATAGGTGGGTGTCTAAAGGTGTTAGTATAAATATTGCCACCAGCACAAAAGTGCACACCTTCCAGAATAAAAAAAAAAAATTATAATTTGGTAGAAAATAAACCACATGGCTATACGATATTGAGGAAAAAAATGGAAGAAGATGCAAATAAATGGAAAGATATACTGTGCTCATGGAGGAGAAGAATTAACATAGTTAAAATGTCCATAGCACCCAAAGCAATCTACAGATTCAGTGCAATCCCTATGAAAATACCAATGGCATTTTTCAAAGAACTAGAAAAAGTAATTCTAAAACTTTGTGTAGAACCACAGAAGAGCGGGAATCACCAAAACAATCTTGAGAAAGAAGAACAGAGTTGGAGGCATCATGCTACCTGATATCGAACTTTACTGCAAGGCCATAGTAATCAGAACAGCATGGCCCTGGCATCACAACAGACTCGCAGATCAATGGAACAGAACAGAGAGCCCAGAAATAATCTCACACCTAAATGGTTAATTACTCGATGACAAAGGGACAAGAATATAGAAAAGGTTAAAAGCAGTCTCTTTAATAAATGACTTTGGGAAAACCGGACAGACATATGCAAAATAGTGAGACTGGGTCACTTTCTTATACCATATACAATAATAAAGGAGCTGGGAAATAGGGGCTGCTTCCAAGGACAGCTTTGCCAGTCTGTTGGAGGTGCGGAGCCCTCAGCCACCCTGAGCTAACAGAGACCTGAAGCCATTGTATGTGGTCTCCCACCCATAGCGGGCAGGGTAGGCTCACGTGATCCACCCAGTCAGGGCGAAAGGAAAAGCGGCAATCTGAGAATCAGACTTGTTCCCATGCCATCTGGTGGGGGCACACCGAACAGTCCTTTCTCTTTCCTGTAGGCTGTGTCATCATGCTCCCTTGGGCAGCCTTCCCAAGCCTTGTGCTTCTCTGGGCAGGTAAGTGGATGGCTGGGCTGGGGCTGGAAGCCCTGAGCGTGGGGCAGTGTGGGGGTGGTGGAGGAAGATGGATGTGCTTGGGCTCTGTTGGAAGGTAACGGGTCAACTAGTGAGCAAAGAACCAGGCTGGAATCTTACTCCAAAGAAATTGCTTAAATGCTATGAATTACAAAATCCATGGCCAAGTATAACAGTGTGTCATCTGAGGCCAGTGGTGTTTAAACAAAAAAGAGGTGGGTGGGTAGTTGTGTATGTATGGACTTCTCATGTGTATGTAGGAAATAGTGGCAGTGTTATCATGGGGTAGGAGGTGATGGAAAGAAGAAATGGGGATAAGATGGAAAAGAGACGAGTCTTTCATTGTACATTTTGTGTGGGGTTTTTTTTTGGTTATGTGCAATTATTTCTTTTAAAAATAAGAAACGCTCTGGCCAGTGTGGTTCAGTTGTTGGGCGTCACCCCATGCACAGAAAGGTTGCTGGTTCAATTCCTGGTCAGGGCACATGCCTGGGTTTCTGGCTCAGTCTCCAGTAGGGGGCATGCAAGAGGCAGCCTATCAGTGTCTCACTCTCACATCAATGCTTCTCTCTCTCTTTCTCCCTCTCCCTTCTCTCTAAAATTCAATTAAAAAAAATAATAATATTTATTATATTAATAATAATATAATTATTATTATATTAATATAATATAATAATATTATATTATTAGGGTGTCCCCAAAATTTATATACACTTTAACAGCTGATACTTCAATTTTGAAAATGAAATGTATTTTAATAAACACTGCCTTTATAATTATTCAAAGCGTGTGGGACACCCTATATTTTAATTCAAAACATTTCATGAGATAGAGAAAAATTTAGGGATAGACAGAACCTAAATTTTAAAATAATAATCAGTATAGGTGGAATTATGGGGAAAAGTTCATTTACATTATATTTCCATACTAAAATTTTAAGTTAGCATGCTATACTTGTACTCTAAAAATGATGTTAGGCAAAATTAAATATTATAAGAATCCAGTAAAAAAAATAGACTCTTATTTTATGTAATAATCAGCATTTTGTTCCCAGATTCATTATGATTAGTTGGGGTATGTAAAGTATGACATGGAGAATATAGTCAATGCCAGGCTGGGCGTGGCTCAGCGATTGAGCATCAACTTAAGATCCAGGAGATCTCGGTTAGATTCCTGGTCAGGGCACATGTCTGTGTTGCGGGCTGGCAGCCGATCAATGGCGACTCTCTCATTTTTGTTTTTTTGTTTTTAAATATATCTTTATTGATTTCCAAGAGAGGAAAAGAGAGGGAGAGAGAGAGACAGAAACATCAATGATGAGAGTCACTGATCAAGCCCGCATCCCGGGCATGTGCCCTGACCGGGAATCGAACCCTGATCGCCTGGATCCCAGGTCGATGCTCAACTGCTGAGCCACTCCTGGCCAGGCGACTCTCTCATTTTTGATGTTTCGACTCTCTCTCTCCCTCTCCCTTCCTCTCTCTGAAATTAATAAAGATATATTTTTTAAAAAAAGAGAGAATATAGTCAATAATATTTTAATAACTATGAATGTTGTCAAGTGGGTACGAAACTTATAAGGGTGATCACTTCATAAGTTATATAAATGTCTAATCACTATTTTGTATACCTGCAACTAATATAATATTGTATATCAATTGCAATTAAAAAATTTAAAATTTATTTTTATTTTAAAAGTATATCTTTATTGATTTCATAAAGAGGAAGGGAGAGGGAGAGAGAGAGAAACATCAATGATGGGAGAGTCATCATTGATCGGCTGCCTCCTGCATGTCCCTGACTGAGGATCGAGCCTGCAACCCGGGCATGTGCCCTGACTGGGAATCGAATCACAACCTCCTGGATCCTAGGTTGATGCTCAGCTGCTGAGCCATGCCCAGCTGGGCAGCAATGCAATGTTTTAAAAAAATTTTTTTTTGAATTGATTGGAGTAACTTTGATTAATAAAATGATATAGGTTTGAGGTGTACAATTCTATAATAAAATATATATATATTGAGGCCATGCTCTAGCCAGCTTGGCTCAGTGTTTAGAGCCTTGGCCTTCAGACTGAAAGGTCCCGGGTTTGATTCCAGCCAAGGGTATGTACTTCAGTTGCAGGCTCAATTCCTGGCCCTGGTCATGAGGTAACCAATCGATGTTTCTCTCTCTCCCTTCCATTCTCTCTGAAAAAGCAATGGGTAAAATATCCTTTGGTGAGGGTTAAAAATAAAAAAATTGAGGCCTCATGCTCTGTTTTATTTGCAGATGCAGTAGTTTCTCAGGCCCGTGTGAGTGGAGTGGTGGGTCAGCCTGTCACCCTACCCTGCACCTACTCAACAGCTCGTGAAGTCACAACCATGTGCTGGGGCCGAGGGGGATGTTCTGTATTTAAATGCTCAAATGAAATCATCTGGACTGATGGCTACCGTGTCACCTTTCGGAAGGACAAGCGTTATGAGCTAAAGGGACTCATTTCCAAAGGGAATGTGTCTCTAACCATAGAAAATGCAGCCCAGTCTGACAGTGGGGTGTATTGTTGCCGAGTGGAGCATTCAGGGTGGTTTAATGACTTGAAAATCAGCATATCAGTGGAGATAAAGCCAGGTGAGCCTGTCTCCCCCCTCCCTTTGGTCACTTCATGAACCTGAACTGAGATGTTGTGTTTGGTAGCACTATTGTNCCCCCCCTCCCCCCCCTTTGATCACTTCATGCACCTGAACTGAGATGTTTTGTGTTTGGTAGCACTATTGTGTTCCCTTATAAAGAAAGAGGGGGATCCTACACTCCCGTTTTTTAATAACTGTTGGGAAATAGAATTACTTATTTGTGTAGAATGAAGTATTAAAAACAACCTTGATTTGAGGACATAGGCGAGNGTTAAAAACACCCTTGATTCGAGGGCATAGGTGAGAGGATCTTCCCAGTCAGCAAACTGTCTCTTAAAGCAGTGCTTCCAAAATGCTCCTTAGTTCGTGAGAAGCCTTCTCTGCTCCACTGGGAAATGCAGTGAATATTTCTCTCAAGCTGAATTTATTCAGTGTAACAACTCCACTTTTTTTCTGAGATGATGTCATTGAAAATTTATAAAATGACCTCTCTTAACATTTTAAAGTTATTATGGGGAGTCTCAGACATATAAAGTAGGTAATATTTTATATGATACTCTCAGGTAGATACATCATCTAACTTTCACGTTTATCAACTCAATCTTGTCACATATACGTTGTGTAAGCATAGATAGTTCCGCCCCCACACTCTGCCCTACCTTGGATTTCATGAAGCATAACTCACATTATATGGCGATATTGGTTGTTTAAAAATTAAAATGACTTCATTGAAATATAAAAGCTTTTGCATCCCAATGATTGTTTACCAGCTGCTTTTAAGAATTTTATGAAATCCAAAAGTCTGGCAAATTTACATTTCTTCTCTCTTGAGATGGACATCCCAATAGCCCAGGTTTCTGATGTTCTCTCGTAATCAATGTCCTCCCAGGGAAGTCTTATATCGACAGGAGAATACAGTATTTGTGATCTTAATAGCTGTATCTCTTTTTCTTTGTTATTAAATTAAGAAAACTTTATTTGCAAACTCCCAATTTTCGGACTAGGTTATTTCCCTTAAAAAGGCACATAAGATACGCTCAGTTCAGATGGAGAAAACAGCTGACCCTGGAGAAACTATTTCTGGGAGGCAATTCACGGAAGCCAAAGGGCTGACAAGATAAACTCTGAGGACAGATGTGGGGAGACAGCATGTGGAGAACAGGTTATGATTACGACATTTTTGGAGTTGTGAAATTATTTTGATCTGGCTGAACTTTAAAAAAAATGATATGGAAAGGAATTAGTAGGAGGTTTTTACACTGCCTATCAATTCTTTTATAGGCAGGTATTTACAAGGCCTCTGCTCTCTCCAGTGGGAAGTGGGTCCAGAGCAGCCTCCAATAACCAAGTCTTTGCTCCAGTTTTCTTTCCCTTTTCACAGGCTCAGCTTACTCTTCAGCTTTCTGTTAGAGCTTTTCCTCACCTGCAGCTACACTTATGTCTTCCTGAGCAAGATCCTTTCCACTGAGGAAGATAAGTCCGTTACTAGATCTGCCTTGGTTTCCTCTTCTTAATTTTCCTGATGGTCCTTTGATCAGATGTTTTGCATGCTTGCTCTGTTCTGTATATCAGACTTTAAACTGGAGGGAAAGGATTAGACTGTACACTTTTTAAAAGCCTCTGACTACAGCTTAGATCAGGGTCAGCCAACTATACAGCCCAGGGCCAGATCACGTTCAAAACAGGCCCACCAACTGTTTTATAAATAATGTTTGAATGGAGCAGTCTTACCCATTCCTTGTACTATCTGCTCTATGGCTGCTTTCACACCGACAGAGTTGAGCAACTGCCACTGAGACCACAGGGCCCCCAAAGCCTAACACACTTACTGTCTGGCCCTTTATAGAAAGTTTGCTGACCCCAGCTCAAGACTAATGCCTTGTACGTAATAGACACAAATTGTGTGCTGAAAAAAAGCTAATCCTCTTTAAGGCACAAATTGGCTTAATTCCAAAGTAAACTGATTCTCTAAAAAGAAGAGAATTCAAATCAATTTTCTGCTCTCTAAGGGTTTCTTTTATAGTTAGTAGAGTCAAATTTAAAGGAAGCGTCTTGTTAAACAAACAAACAAAAACAAAAAACAAAGGTTCCTGATGAGTAAAATATCCACACTCTTGAATCAGGCCTCGATTGATCTGCAGTGTCGCCAGGCACTGTGTTCGGGCCTGATTCTAGTGTCCGCATTCTCTCTGGGTAGCTCTGAGACCTTACGTAAATGGTTTTGAATCCTACACCCACTCTGGCTCTGGAAAGAGACGAAGTTATTACCTGCAGTCTAGTCCACCTTCCAGCCAAATGCTTAAATCGGCTGTGTGATCTAGCAGATGCTAGTGAGTGTGAGTTAATCCTCAGTTAAGGCTAGAGTCTCTTGGGAGGGTACCCTCAGGACTGACCAAAACAAATGCCATTTATTTATTAATTTATTTTTAATTTTCTGGGCCTAGAATCTACTTTTTAATTTAGTCACTCACCACTGAGAGAACAAAGCCAGGTCCTGGTTCTAGACATTTTCCCCACCTTAGCTATGTTTATGAAGCTATGTAAGTCTGACAGGCATGGTTGGTCTTCTGAAAGTTCTTCAGTATTAATCCCGGATACCCTTTTTGACCTCTGAGCCTTCTGGAATGTATACCTTTCAATGCAGTTATTTCTGTTTTCTTTGGCTTTTCTTCCAGCCCTCCCCTGAAAGAATCTCAACGACCAAGGGCAGGAGCTTGGAGTTCAGGGGAATTTAGTGCCCAGTTTTGTGTGGGGACCGTCTCTCATTGGATGTGTGTACAGGCCCAGCACGAAGCTCTTGTTCCCTGCTGCTTTGATTAATCCTGCTTTCCTGTTGATTTCTAGCTCCACCTAAGGTCACCAGTGTCCCAACATCACCTTGGACTTCTACCTCTGCTCCTACAACGCCAGCACTGACCACGAACCTCAGGACAGGTAAAGCCGCATGTGTCTGAGGCCAGAGGCCTTCTAATGAGAGAATGTAGACCAGCCAGGGCACTGTGTTGAGATAGATGTACAATCCAGGATAAGGGTTTGTCGTAGGTGGCTCCAAATGAGGGTTTCATAGGGCCGTGAACCCAGGTCTCATATTACATGCAGCTTCTGTAACTATAAGTATTTTCAGAATGAGGAGACCCATTGGTTTTTCTAGTCAGGTTCTCAAAGGGATTCATTGTTGGCCCCACCCCCCCAGGACATTGATCTTTGATATCTAATGAGGATGGTATGGATTTTACCCAATGAGCACAGACTTAAGAGGAAAATACTGTAAATATCAGAGAAAAATGGTCAAGTTCATAGGATTCTCTTCTCCTAAGGAGTTCTGAATAGAGACCCTTTACTTCACTTGCGATTAAGATTGTAATGAAGTTAATATTTACTGTCTCCTATGTCAGGAACCATACTAAGTGCTTTACAAATATTATATCACTTAATTCTTATGACAACCCCATGTGCTGTGGGTGTGATTAAATCCTACTTTATAGGGTACAGTCAAGTAGGTACAGCGCCAGCTTTAACAATTGCCCTTTCAATCTTGTTGCTTATACATCGTGTAAGCACCAAAGTAGACAAGTTCACTAGAAAAACTGGTTAGCTTTTCTCCTATTTATTGTTCCTTATGTTCCTTTAAATAGATTTTTTGCATGCTTCTTTTCCCCTCCATATTAGATTTAAACCTAGAGGAAGGAGATTGGATTGTATCTTCCTAAAAGCCTCTGACTACCCCTTAGACCAGGGCCAGCAAACAATAGCCCAGCGCCAGATCAGATCCAAAGTAGGCCCACCAACTGCTTTAGAAATAAAGTTTTATTGGAACAGTCATAGCCAATCATTATAGTATCTTTTCTTAGAAACTTTCACACTGATAAAGTTGAGCAAACTGCCTCTGAGATCATCCAGCCACCCGAGGTAAACATTTACTGTATGGCCCTTTATAGAAAGTTTGCTGACCTCTGCTTTAGACTAATGCTTTGATTGCAATAGACACAAATATTTGTTGAAAAACAGTTTTTTCCTGTTAAAGGCAAACACTGGTTCAGTTCCAAATTAAACTAGATCTCTCAAAGGAAGAGCCTTCAAGTCGATGGTCTCCTATACAAGGGTTCTCTTTTATACTTAGGAGAGTTAGATGTAAGAGAACGTCTTATAAAAGAAAAAATAAGGTGCTTGGTGAGAAAAGGGTACACATTCTTGAATCAAGCCTTCATAGACCTGCTTCTGACATAGGCATTGTGTTTGGGCTTAATTCTAGCTTCAGTTTTCTCTCTGGGTAGCTCTGAGACCTTCTGTAAGGCAGTTGTAGTCCTATACTACCTCTGACTCTGGAAAGAGTCAAAGTTATTACTGGTGGTTTAGTCCACCTTTATCCAAATCTATGTTGTATAAATCCTTGTTGTGATCTTGCATCTGCTAGTGGGTGTGAGTTAATCCTCACTTATGGTGCAGGTCACTTGGGAGGGTACCTTATAAACTGAATTTAATGCTACTTATTTGTTAAACATTTTGGATTTGGGAGCTACTATTTAAGTAAGTCTTTTTAAAAATACATATATATATTTATTGATTTTAGAGAGAGGAAAAGAGAGAGATAGAAGCATCAATGATGAGAGAGTCATCATTGACCAGCTGCCTCTTGCAAGCCCCCAGCTGGGGATTTAGCCTCCAACCCGAGCATGTGCACTGACTGGGCATCAAACTGTGATCTCCTGGATCCTAGGTTGATGCTCAACTGCTGAGCCACGCCCTGCTGGGCTAAGTAAGTCTTAGTGATTCACCACTGAGAAGACTAAGACAGATCTAGGCTCTAGACATTTTCTGTAGCTCACAGATATTTATGAAGACACATAAATCTGATAGGCGTGGGTGATCTTTTGACAGTGCTTCAGTGTAAATTCTGGGTAACCCTTTTCACCTCTGAAATTGAGAAAGTTCCAGAACTCTGAATTCAGGAGACGTTAGTGCCCAATTTGCCTGGAGACAGATAGTCTCTAATTGGATGTGTGTGTATAAGCCCAGCACAAAGCTCTTGTTCCCTGCTGTTTGATTAATCCATGCCTTCCTGTTGAATCCTAGCTCCACCTGAGGTCACCAGTGCCCCAACATCACCTAGGGTCTTCACCTCTCCTCCTACGACACCGGCACCAACACTAGACCTTCAGACAGGTAAATTGATGTGTTTCTGAAGCGTGGGCTTTCTAATGAGGGCTTGTAGACCGCCCAGGGCATGCACCAAGGCAGAGTTACAGCCAATGCTAAAGGTTATTCTCTGCGTTCACCTGGCCTCATGTGGTCTTGAAACCTTGTCCCATATTGCATGCACCTAATGCACCAATATGTGTCTTCAGAGTGAGGGGACCAATTGTTTTAAATCGGCTTCTCAAAGGGATTCACCAGTACCCTAACCCCCCGACCCCTGATATTGGACATTTAGTGATGCAGATTTGGCCTGGTTGAGCACAGGCTTATGAGGAAAATCTAGGTAATGCCAGAGAAGAAGGGTCAGGTTAACAAGGCTCTGTCTTCACCAGGAAATCTGAGTGTTCTTTTATTTCTCTCTGAAGGTAGACCTGCCACTCAAGGATAAGAGCCGCACCACTGGTGTTACTATAACATTTTATTGAAAGACCCATATCTAATCATTAGTCCATCTGGTCTATGGCTGCTTTCACTTGACAGAATTGAGTAACAGCCACGAAAACTATAGCCTGCAAACCCTAACACTTTTGTCCAGCCATTTACTAAAAGTTTACTGACCTGTGCTTTGGACTAATGCCTCGCATGTAATGGACACTCACAAATATTTGTGGAAAGACATTTTTTTCACTTCAAGGCAATAATGGGCTCGATTCCAAGTTAAACTGTGTCTCTCAAAAGAAGAGCTTTTAAACCAATGGTCTCCTGTACAAAGGTTTACTTTTTTCTTGTTAGTATGAGATTCCAGGAAGCTTCTTGCGGTATGAAATGGTGTCTGGTGAGAAAAAAAGTGCACATTCTTGAATCAGGATTTCATTGATCAGCTTTTGTGCCAGACATTTTATTTGGGCTTAATTCTGGTTTCAGCTCTCTCTCTGGGTAGCTCTGAGACCTTCCTTAAGTGGTTTGAACACCTATATACCACTGAGCCAAAGTCATTATCTGTTGTTATCTCTTAAGTGGGAAGGAATCTTAAATGGTCTAGTCCTACATCTATCTAAACATATAATGTGTAAATCCTTTGTGTGGTCTTGCTTATGCTGTGGGTAATCGAGGGTGCGGGACTCTGGGAGGGTATCCCCAGGACTGCTGAAATGAAGGCTATTTATTGGGTAAACATTCTGGGCCTGGGAACTATGGCTTATGTCTTAGTCATTCACCAGAGAGAGGACAAGACCTGCCCTGGCTCTAGACATTTTCCCCACCTCACCAAAGTGTATAAAGATCCATAACTATGACATGCATGACAGGTGTTTCCAAAGTGCTTTGGTGAATAACCTGAGTTACTTTCCAACCCTGACCTCCGGGAATATGTGCTTTTCAATGCAGCTGGTTCCTTTTTGCGGGCCTGGCCTCAGCCCACCCGTCAGAGTCTAGTAGACTAAGGACGGGAGCTCTGAGCTCAGGGGAGATTAGTGGCCAGTGTTGCGTGGGGACCGTCTCTCATTGGATGTGTGTACAGGCCCTGCACAAAGCTCTCGTTCCCTGCTGCTTGATTAATCCCGCTTTCCTGTTGATTTCTAGCTCCACCGAATGTCACCAGTGTCCCAGCATCACCTAGGGCCTCTACCTCTGCTCCTACAACACCAGCATCCACACAGACATTCAAGACAGGTAAACTGATGTGTTTCTGAAGTCCAGGCCTTCTAACGAGAGGCTGGAGACCACTCAGTGCATGTGTTAAGGCAGAGTTACAATCTAGGGTATGAATTCCTCCCTGGGTTCCAATCATGGGCTTCGTAGGACTTACTGACCTTAATGCTATGCATTTAGTAAAAATCTGGGCCTTGGTACTACTGTTTAAATCTTAGTCATTCACCTACTAGAGAACAAAGACACGTCCAGGTTCTAGACTTTTCCCTCACTTCAGTGATGTTTATGAAGATACATAATCTGATGTGCATGGTTGGTCTTCTCAGCGTGCTCCAGTGTTAGTCCAGGGTATCCATTTCACCTTCAAACCTCCCAGAATATAGACTTTCCAATACAGCTGTTTGCTTTTAGTGGGCTTTTCCTCGCGCCCTCCGCTGTCAGATTCTAGTAGACCCAGGACAGGAACTCTGAGTTCAGGGGTGGTTAGTGCCCAGTTCTGCTCCAGAACAGTCTCTCATGGTTTATGTTGGTGTACAGGCTCTGCACGAAGCTCTTGCTCCTTGATTCTTTGATTAATCTGTGCTTTCCTGTTGGTTTCTAGCTCCACCTAAGGCCACCAGTGTCCCAGCATCACCTAGGGCCTCTGCCTCTGCCCCTACAACGCCAGCACCAGCACCGGACCTTGAGACAGGTAAACTGATGCGGTTCTGAGGTCAGAGGCCTTCCGATGAGCTGTGGATTGCCCAGGGCATGTGTTAAGGCAGAAGTGCAACCCAAGGTATGAAGGATTCCCTGGATTCCAAAAAATGTGGACTTCACAGGAAATATTAACCCAGATTTCTTATTATATGCAGGTTTTTACCTATAATTAATTTCGGAGTGAAAGTCCATTGTTTAAAGATCAAACTCTTAAAGGTATTTATTATTAGGCAACCAACCACAAAAATCCTTGATATCTAACGAGGATGGTGTGGATTTGGCCGAGCTGAGCACAAGTTTGTGAGGAAAATATAGGGAATACCAACTGAATGAGATTCTGACTTCACAGAGTTCTGAATGGAGATCATTAGTCCTTGTGAAGTTGGACCCTCCACTCAAGGGTAAGGTTTCAGTGAAGTTAACACTTAGTCGGTCCTCTATGTGTCAGGAGCCATTATACGTTTTTTACAGATATTACGTCACCTAATTCTTATGACAATTCTGTACATTGTAGGTATGATTCAATTCTATTTATAGTTGTGGGCACTGACAAGTAGATACATCACCAGCTTCAACAATTATCAACTCTTTGATAACTATTTCTCCTATTGTCTTCGGGCCTGGCATTAAGATTTTAGGTTATCATAAACTAAAATTTTACTTTCTTCACTCCGAGAATATTGGGATAATGGGATTATCTGTTCATTCTCTGAAATTCATAGAACCAACCACTTAGGGAAAAACCCCCACACAATTAGCTCAATCTTGTTGTGTGTACATTGTGTAAGTCTATATTGTTCCACTCACACATTTTACCCCACCTTGGATATTTTGGAAGCATATCTCCCACCATGTCACAACATTGCTTATTTAAACATAAAAGTGACTTCACTGCAATCGAAAGCATTTACATCCCAATAACTGTTCACCAGTTGCTTTAAGAATTTTATGAAATGAAAAAATCTGGAAAGTTTACAGTTCTTCAGTCTTTTTTTATTTTATTTTATTTATTTATTTATTTATTTATTTAATTATACCTTTATTGATTTCAGAGAGAGGAAAGGAGAGGGAGAGAGACAGATAGAAACATCAATGATGAGAGAGAGTCATTGATCAGCTTCAGCCCGCAACCCGGGCATGTGCCCTGACCGGGAATCGAACCCCGATCCCCTGGATCCTAGGTCGACGCTTAACTGCTGAGCCACGCCCGGCTGGGCTCTTCAGTCTTTTAAAAAAATATATCTTTATTCACTTCAGAGAAAGGAAAGGAGAGGGAGAGAGGGAGATAGAAACATCAACTATGAAAGTCATTGATCAGCCACATCCTGCACCCCCCCCACTGGGGATGGAACCCAGGCATGTGCCCTGAGAGGGAATCGAACCCTGATCTCTTGGATCCTAGGTCGATGGCTCAACCTCTGAGCCACACCGACCGGGCCACTTCTTCACTCTTGATGTGGATGTGCTAAGCCTTATTAGTGGATGAAAGAAGTAGGTATTTGAGGATTTCCTGGTTTCTAGTGCTCCTTATTTGCCGGAGCCTGCCGGCAGTCGAGCAGTAACCTGATTGAGGGGGTGAGGATTGGAAAAGAAAGACAAGAGACAGGATGGGATCGGGAGGGCTTCAGTACGTGACTGAGCCCCGAGTTTATNCAATATTTGTGGCCTTAATAAGCTGTATCTCTCTCTCTTTTTAATTAAGAGAAATTTCATTTTGTAAATTCATATTTTTGAACTAGGCGTATTTTCCTTAAGAGGGGAAGTAAGATAAGGTCAATTCAGATGAAGAAAACAGCTGACTCTGGGGAAACTATCTGGGAGGCAATTCAGGGAAGCCAAAGGGCTGATAAGAGAACTCTGTAGACAGATGTGAGGAGGCAGCACGTGGACAAGAGATTAAAACTGCAAAATTTTGAGAGGTTGTGAAATTATTTTGATCTGGCTGAATTTTTAAATGTAACACAGAAAGGAGCGAGTAGGTGGTTTTTATAGTGCCTCCAATTCTTTTTTTTTTTAAGTGTATCTTTATTGATTCCAGAGAGAGGAAAGGAGAGGGGGAGAGAGAGAGAAACATCAACGATGAGAGAGTCATTGATCGGCTGCCCAGCCCGCAACCCAGGCATGTGCCCTGACCGGGAATCGAACCCCGATCGCCTGGATCCTAGGTCGACGCTCAACCGCTGAGCCACGCCCGGCCAGGCAGTGCCTCTTCTTTAATAGGCAGGTATTCACAAGGCCTCTGCTCGCTATCCAGTGGGAAATGGGCCCGTAACTGAGCTAAAGTGACTCTCTATCTCTAATAACCAATTATTTGCTTAAATTTTCTTTCCCTTTTCACAGGCTCAGCTTACTCTTCAACTTTCTGGTAAAGCTTTTCCTCACCTGCAGCTACACTTAAATCTTCCTAGCTTCTCCCTGGGGAAGACATTTACCACCGAGGACAAGTCCGTTACTAGATCTGCCTTGGTTTCCTCCTCTTTATTGTTCCTGATGCTCCTTTGATCAGATTTTTGGGGTGCTTGCTTTGTTCTCTATATTAGAGTTTAAACTGGAAGGAAAGGATTAGACTGTATACTTCTCTTTTCTTATGTTCTTTTTTATTGATTTTTAGAGAGAGGAGAAGGGGGAAGGAGAGAGAGATAAAATATCAATGAGAGAGAAACATTGACCAGCTGCCTCCTGTGTGCCCCCTCCTGGAGATTGAGACCGCAACCTGGGCATGTGCCCTGACAGGGATTTAAACCGGCCACCTCTTGGTGCATGGGACAATGCTCAACCAACTGAGCCACACCGGCCAGGGTAGACCGTATACTTTTCAAAAGCCTCTGACTGCAGCTCAGATCAGGGTCAGCCAACTATATAGCCCAGAGCCAGATCACATTCCAAACAGGCCCACCAATTGTTTTATAAATAAGTTTTATTGGATCAGCCGTACCCATTCCTTATACTATCTGCTCTTTGGCTGCTTTCACAGAGTTAGTTGAGCAACTGACACTGAGAACATAGGACCCCCAAAGCCTAACACACTTACTGTCTGGCCCTTTACAGAAACATTGCTGACCTCTGCTTAAGACTAATGCCTTGCCTGTAATGGAAATTCACAAATGTATGTCGAAAATAGTTTATCGTCTTCAAGGCACTAATTGGCTTAATTCTAAAGTAAACCAATCCTTTAAAAAGATAATTCAGACCAATTGTCTTCTCTCTAATGGTCTCTTTTAGAGTTAGTAGAGTTGAGTTTTAAGGAAGCTTCTTGTTAAAAAAAAAAGTTATGTGGTGAAAAAAAGGTATACATTCTTGAATTAGGCCTTCATTGATCTGTTCCTGTGCCAGGCACTGGGTTTGGCTTAATTCTAGTGTAAGCTCTCTCTCTGGGTAGTTCTCCGACCTTCTGTAAGTGGTTTTGAATCCTTTACCCCCTCCAACTCTGGAAAGAGTCAAAGTTATTACCTGCGGTCTAGTCTGCCTGCTAACCAAATGTATAAATCATCTGTGTGATCTAGCAGCTGCTAGTGAGTGTGAGTTAATCCTCACTTAGGGTGCAGGTACCTTGGGAGCATACCCTTTGGGCTGACTGATCTGAATGCTATGTATTTGGTAAACATTCTGGGCCTGGGAGCTACTGTAGAAGACTTAGTCACTCACCACTGAGTAGACTAAGACAGGTCCAGGCTCTATACATCTCCCTTTCCTCACAGATGTTTATGAAGCTACATAAATCTTATGTGCATGGCTGGATTTTCAAAGTGGTTCAGTATAAATCCCAGGTATCTTTCAACTCTGAACTTCCTGTAATACACACACACACACACACACACACACACACACATAGCCTTTTTTTGTGAGCTTTTCTTCAAGCCCTCTGTCAGAGTCTAGTGGACTAAGGACAAGAACTCTGAGTTCAGGGGAGATTAGTGCTTAATTCATCCTGGGGACAGTTTCTCATTGATTGTGTGTGTGCAGGCCCAGCACAAAGCTCTTGTTTCCTGCTGCCTTGATTAATCCTTGTTTTCTTGTTGATTTCTAGCTCCACCTAAAGTCACCAGTGTTCAAACATCACCCAGGGTCTCTACCTCTGCTCCTATAACTCCAGCACCCACGTGGAAATTCAAGACAGGTAAACTGATGTGTCTCAGAGGCCAGAAGCCTTATAACGGGGGCATGTGGATTACCCAAGGCATTGGGTTAACACAGAAGTACACTTCAGGGTAAGAGTTCTTAGGTGACTTCCAAAAGAGGGCTTCACGGTGTCTGTGAACTCCCATCGTATATTACATGCACCTTTTGTATAAATGTTTTCAGAATGAGGAAACCTATTAGTTTTCTAGTCAGATTCTCAAAGGGATACATTATCAGCCACAATACCCCAGACCACTGATCTTTGGCAGGTGATGAAGATGGTGTAGATTTGGCCCTCTTTTTTTTTTTCATTTACTTATTTATTTTTATTATTATTTTTGAAATTTATCTTTATTGTTGAAAGTACTACAGGTGTCCCATTCCTCCCCCCCCCAACTGAGCCTCTCCACCTCACTCCCACCCCCTCCACAGGCCTTCACCCCATTATTAACTGTGTCCATGGGTTATGCATATATGCATATAACTTCTTTGGTTAATCTCTTCCCACCCTCCACCCCTCTTCCCTCTTCCCTCTGAAATATGACTGTCTGTTGCATGCATCAATGTCTCTGGATCTATTTAGTTCTGCAGATTCTTTTGTTCATTAGCTTCTTCTTAAAGAAGACCCTTCAGCTTTTCCTGTAGTGCTGGTCTGGTGGCGATGAACTCCTTTAGCTTTTTCTTATCTGTGAAGCTCTTTATCTGACCTTCTATTCTAAATGACAGCTTTGCTGGGCAGAGCAATCTTGGTTGTAGTTCCCTGTTTTTCATCACTTTGAACATTTCTTGCCACTCCCTTCTGCCCTGCAAAGTTTCTGTTGAGAAATCAGCTGACAGTCATATGGGGGCTCCCTTGTAGGT